TAGAAGAACTAATTTAAAAATAAAAATTACTTGAAAACAATTATTGTTTAGCATTTCTTGAGAATTTTCTTCTAAAAAACTAGAAGTAATAGAATTATTTAAAAGATTAGCTGCTTCGCTATATTTAGACATTTTAATAAAAATAATATTTTTTAAATTTAAATCTAATAAAACAAAATTTTTAAAAATTTATATAGTAATTTTTTTCAAATTCCCCTCCTCCCCTGTTTATACTCATTTTTGTCCCATCCTGTAACAACACACTCCTAATTTGTAGATTGTTTTGAATATTTCTTTTTGGGTTTGATATTTTTAAATCCTCACATTCCGTAAAATATAATTTTTTGGTGTGGTATATTAAAACAAAAGATATCTTATCCGACGTGTTTGTCAGTCAAAGTCTATTTATTAAAACAGAAATTATCAAGATTGGGACAGAATTACGAAGAAGTTATGATAAATTAACTGGAACATTCAATTGCTCAATTATGAGTTTTTACTTCAATTAGACATGTTTTTGATATATTTTAAATAATTTTTTGTTTAAAAATTCAGAAAAAATATTAAAAAACCAAGTAATAATTTTCTATAAGAATTAATTTATAAGAAAATATCAATATGTATAGAATAAAAAATTAATAAATGAGAGAAGTTTAAATTCTTTCCTTAACTTAGGCACAAAAATATGTCAAAAAGAGGTCAACCCAATTAAAAAAACAAAGGAATGGATAAATGTCAGACTTCTCCCTTTTTAATCTTTTTTATGCAAAAAATTATATGTTTATTTTAAATTAGGTATATTTTTTAACAAGTTTAGGTTTCTCAACAAATCTTGGTCAAAATTTTTTTATCATAATTTATGTAAATAAAAACAAAATTTTATAAAATTTATTTAAAAAATATTTACTTTTTATTTAAAAATTTTTATTTACTGTCAAAATTATATAAACATTTAAATACAATCGACTCCAGTTAATATTTCGGACATTAGATCACTCTAGCGTTAGGTTTATCCGGAGTTGATTGTATAATTAATAAAGCATTGTATTAAAGGCAGTTTTTGATTGCTTAGGGGTTAATTTAATATTTATCCTTTATGCCACAATCGCTAATATTTAATGGAATTATGGATGGAATTATAAAAATAAAAGTTTTTTTCTGAAATGTCGGATGAGCAGCAACTAATTAGGACCGACCTAAGTTGCCCTACTAAATTTGAACCAATTATCATTTGATGCTATCCCATCTAATCGAAAATAACGAGAGTGTGGCATAAAGGGTAAAAATTATTATTTTTTAAATAAAAATTTCAATTCATTTTATCAATTATTTGACATTGGTTTATTTAATTGATTATTTGTTTTTAGTATATTTTGATATTGAAATGTGCCAAATGGTGAGAAGAAAGGTAAAAGTTGAGGAATATTTGTAGTAGGAATAGTAGATGATTGTGAAAATGTAGTAAAAGGTAATAAACTTCCATTAGGTGAATTGTTGAATATTTGTTGATTTTGCTTAAAATTAATTTAAAATAAATAAAATAAATAATTTGGATTACCGTATTTTCTCGATTAATTCCCCTCCCTCGAATAATCCCCCCTCTCGATTAATTCCCCATGCTAGAGTTGGGTTGAAACAATAATTCCCCACCCCCAAATACCCTACTCCACGTTCAAATGCCAAAACTCGAATAATCCCCCTCCCTCGATTAATTCCCCATGCCAAGCAAGGGCTGAAAAAATAATTCCTCGGGGGAATTAATCGAGAAAATACGGTATATGAAATAAAGTCATTTTTCCGTTTTTTACCAAGTTTGGAATATTTTTTATAATGAATTGTGATTGATTTTATTTCTAGTCATAAAAATTAATATTTTTATTCTTTTACTTGTCTTAAAGCAACATTATTAAAAAAATATTTTTAACTTTTGGAAGAAAATGAAGGAAATACGATAAATACTAATATTTTTCTCGATATAGTAAACTTCCGTTAGTTGAGAAATATTTCGGGATAGGGATCTTATTAAATACATTCCCTAACAGGGCATTTCTGTCTGACTCGATTAATTACCTCTCGAAATAACAAACTTTTCATCAGTTTTTCAAGTTCATTATATCGAGATTCGTCTGTATATTTTTAATTAAAAACGAAAATCTTACCTGTTGTTGATTACCAGAATTAATTAATATTTCTCCAAACGTTTTTTGATTAATAAATTTATTTTGATTTAAAAAATTTGCTTTTATTGTTGAAGAAATAATATTATTATTTGCCTCAATAAATAAATTATTAAAATTTGTTACTCCATTTTGAAGGGCTTTTCGACGTGAACGGGCACGTCTATTGGAAAACCAAGTCTTTAATTTGAAAAATTATTTCTTTTTAATTAATTTAAATTTTATACTATAATTTTGTCTTCATCCAATTTTGTTTTTCTTACAAGCCATTCTTTTTGTGTAGTTACGGGATAGGGATTTACATTGAATACTTCCTCTAACAGACTTAAAAAAATATTAAAAAATTATTTTACGAGAATTTTTATAAATTTTTATTTTTATAAATTTTTACAAAAGTATTTTTAGGTTGCTAAATTTCAGTGAAAAAATAAGATATATGGAGGAAAAAATTTACAAATATAATATGGTATTTATTTATAATTCAAATTTTGTAAGCAAATATTATAATTACTAAATTAGTTAATTACCGTAATTGTTCCTGATTAAAAGCTGTCCGGGCTCTGCGATTTTCCATTGTTAAATTAAATTGTTGTTGATTATTTTCTTCATCAGAGCCAACAGATACAGCTTTGTTTGAATCGTTTAAATTGTTTGACATAACAAAGTTGGGAAAATTGGAAGTGTTTGATGATTGGCATTCAGAAAAGTCTTTAAATTATTTTTAAAAAATTAATAAATCTTTTTGGTTTTTAATTTTTTTTAATTTTATTATTTGAATATTTAAATTATTTTCTCTAAATAATAATTTATTCAAAAATTATTTAAAAATAAATATGTGTTCCCTAATATTTCTTCCATTCTCTACTTATTCCCGCATCTTTTAACACTTTTAAACTTGCTCACATCAATTTCCAATCTATCAATTTGACACCTAAATATTGCCGCTGATTAGAACTTGTGATATATATTTTTATATATAATTTCAATCTTTTTAACGCCTTTATTCCCCTTTTTAATAATTCATCTAGTATATACTCCCCCTTTACTTTTTAGCGGTAAATAAGGGGTAAAAGAAAGTAACATTTTTGCTTGTCATAAAAATATTGTGTGTTCATTCCGCGATCATTCTTTCCTCTCTTACCGCGATAATTTCAAGTTGATATGTATATTATAAATAATAAAAAAAATGGAGGGGGTTTACTTAGATTATGAATGATTGGTTGTATTTAATATTTTATTTGTTTTGTAGGTAATAATTTCCAAGTTCCTTATCTTTTTTGGGAGCGGTTCTGGCCTTTGATCAGAACCAAGAAAAAAATTGCGGGTAGGAGAGAGAGGGGAGGGAGAGGGGGAGGGGGAGGGGGGAGCATTTTTCAAACATTTTACCGCCACACAACTGTTGAACCTCAACAGTAAATCAAATAAAAGAGAAACTACAAAAAATACATTTTGTTTCTTGTTTAAAATTTATAGCCTTTTTTGCTTGTTTTTATCTTATCATAAAATTAATAATCGAGAGAAATGAAAATGCGGGAAATATTAAAGAAAGTAAAAAAATATTTTTAAGAGGATAAAGGAAGCCTTTTTTGATAAATAAATTTTTAAATAAATAACTTTTTATTAATTGATATCGAATATTAGAAAATCTAAAATTAGTTTAAATTTTGAATCAATTATTATTAACGAAATAATCTACAATTTTTTGATCTTTACTAGGCTAAAACTTAAAGAAATCCAAAATTACTACACAACAAATTTCACCATATAACTCAAAATATACCTCCATACATATGTCGCCTCTTATTTATTCACACCTTAACTTTTCAAAAACCAACATTCCTACATATGCCCCTAATCTTTATTCAAACCTAAATTGAATAATTTTATATTTTCCTCACAATCCGTTGTAATTTTTGATTGTTTGGCGGCAATTTATTTAAAGTTAAATAAAAAAAACTGTCCGCGCATTTTGGCCGTCCCTAACATTTTACACCGGCACTTCCGCCTCGGACACTAATCCGCCGACAAACTTGTCATCCACAAAAATCAAAAATAGTTACTTATCCGTTGACTTTATCGCTTATAGTTATACAATATGTTACAATTTTATGCCGCGCAGATGCTTGTCTTTTTCTTATTTTTTGTAAAAAAATTTTAAAATTAATAAATTTAGCTTTTTTAATAAAGAATTAAATTATAAAAGAATATTGGAAATTTTTGAGTTTTTGAGAAATTTTGAGTCATAGCATTTAAGTCAAGATTATGAAAAATATTTTATTTTGAAAGAAAATGATAAAAATTGCCTCAAGTCTTAGTAAATTAAGCGTTTAGTAATAAATTCTAATAAGTTATTAAATGTTTGCTTACACTAAACAAATGTGTATTACTGTCATTTTTTAACTCAAAAACTTCCGTTAGTTGAGAAATATTTCGGGATAGGGATCTTATTAAATACATTCCCTAACAGGGCATTTCTGTCTGACTCGATTAATTACCTCTCGAAATAACAAACTTTTCATCAGTTTTTCAAGTTCATTATATCGAGATTCGTCTGTATATTTTTAATTAAAAACGAAAATCTTACCTGTTGTTGATTACCAGAATTAATTAATATTTCTCCAAACGTTTTTTGATTAATAAATTTATTTTGATTTAAAAAATTTGCTTTTATTGTTGAAGAAATAATATTATTATTTGCCTCAATAAATAAATTATTAAAATTTGTTACTCCATTTTGAAGGGCTTTTCGACGTGAACGGGCACGTCTATTGGAAAACCAAGTCTTTAATTTGAAAAATTATTTCTTTTTAATTAATTTAAATTTTATACTATAATTTTGTCTTCATCCAATTTTGTTTTTCTTACAAGCCATTCTTTTTGTGTAGTTACGGGATAGGGATTTACATTGAATACTTCCTCTAACAGACTTAAAAAAATATTAAAAAATTATTTTACGAGAATTTTTATAAATTTTTATTTTTATAAATTTTTACAAAAGTATTTTTAGGTTGCTAAATTTCAGTGAAAAAATAAGATATATGGAGGAAAAAATTTACAAATATAATATGGTATTTATTTATAATTCAAATTTTGTAAGCAAATATTATAATTACTAAATTAGTTAATTACCGTAATTGTTCCTGATTAAAAGCTGTCCGGGCTCTGCGATTTTCCATTGTTAAATTAAATTGTTGTTGATTATTTTCTTCATCAGAGCCAACAGATACAGCTTTGTTTGAATCGTTTAAATTGTTTGACATAACAAAGTTGGGAAAATTGGAAGTGTTTGATGATTGGCATTCAGAAAAGTCTTTAAATTATTTTTAAAAAATTAATAAATCTTTTTGGTTTTTAATTTTTTTTAATTTTATTATTTGAATATTTAAATTATTTTCTCTAAATAATAATTTATTCAAAAATTATTTAAAAATAAATATGTGTTCCCTAATATTTCTTCCATTCTCTACTTATTCCCGCATCTTTTAACACTTTTAAACTTGCTCACATCAATTTCCAATCTATCAATTTGACACCTAAATATTGCCGCTGATTAGAACTTGTGATATATATTTTTATATATAATTTCAATCTTTTTAACGCCTTTATTCCCCTTTTTAATAATTCATCTAGTATATACTCCCCCTTTACTTTTTAGCGGTAAATAAGGGGTAAAAGAAAGTAACATTTTTGCTTGTCATAAAAATATTGTGTGTTCATTCCGCGATCATTCTTTCCTCTCTTACCGCGATAATTTCAAGTTGATATGTATATTATAAATAATAAAAAAAATGGAGGGGGTTTACTTAGATTATGAATGATTGGTTGTATTTAATATTTTATTTGTTTTGTAGGTAATAATTTCCAAGTTCCTTATCTTTTTTGGGAGCGGTTCTGGCCTTTGATCAGAACCAAGAAAAAAATTGCGGGTAGGAGAGAGAGGGGAGGGAGAGGGGGAGGGGGAGGGGGGAGCATTTTTCAAACATTTTACCGCCACACAACTGTTGAACCTCAACAGTAAATCAAATAAAAGAGAAACTACAAAAAATACATTTTGTTTCTTGTTTAAAATTTATAGCCTTTTTTGCTTGTTTTTATCTTATCATAAAATTAATAATCGAGAGAAATGAAAATGCGGGAAATATTAAAGAAAGTAAAAAAATATTTTTAAGAGGATAAAGGAAGCCTTTTTTGATAAATAAATTTTTAAATAAATAACTTTTTATTAATTGATATCGAATATTAGAAAATCTAAAATTAGTTTAAATTTTGAATCAATTATTATTAACGAAATAATCTACAATTTTTTGATCTTTACTAGGCTAAAACTTAAAGAAATCCAAAATTACTACACAACAAATTTCACCATATAACTCAAAATATACCTCCATACATATGTCGCCTCTTATTTATTCACACCTTAACTTTTCAAAAACCAACATTCCTACATATGCCCCTAATCTTTATTCAAACCTAAATTGAATAATTTTATATTTTCCTCACAATCCGTTGTAATTTTTGATTGTTTGGCGGCAATTTATTTAAAGTTAAATAAAAAAAACTGTCCGCGCATTTTGGCCGTCCCTAACATTTTACACCGGCACTTCCGCCTCGGACACTAATCCGCCGACAAACTTGTCATCCACAAAAATCAAAAATAGTTACTTATCCGTTGACTTTATCGCTTATAGTTATACAATATGTTACAATTTTATGCCGCGCAGATGCTTGTCTTTTTCTTATTTTTTGTAAAAAAATTTTAAAATTAATAAATTTAGCTTTTTTAATAAAGAATTAAATTATAAAAGAATATTGGAAATTTTTGAGTTTTTGAGAAATTTTGAGTCATAGCATTTAAGTCAAGATTATGAAAAATATTTTATTTTGAAAGAAAATGATAAAAATTGCCTCAAGTCTTAGTAAATTAAGCGTTTAGTAATAAATTCTAATAAGTTATTAAATGTTTGCTTACACTAAACAAATGTGTATTACTGTCATTTTTTAACTCAAAAATTCGTCAAAATGTTAAAATATTTTCCATTTATTACTTTCCTTCCCCCCCCCCCCCCCCTCCACTTTCAATCTTAAATTTATTTTGAGAAAATAATAATTAATCAATTATTACTTGCTGCTACTGATCGTTATATGGAGATAAGAAAATTAACCAATAAAAATAAAAGTAAAAATGAATATAAAAAGTGTTGATCGTAAAATTGTTTTTAAGGGTGTGAGGGAGGGGGTTTTATTATTATTTAAAGAGATTGAAAGGGAGGGAATTAAATTGATAGGAAATGATTTTCGCGCATGATAATTAAATTTATGTATTTTATTAGGTAGAACGAACCTCTTTTTGGATACCCAAAATTAGGTAATCCTCAATTTTGGATATGTTTTTGGCTTTTAGTTGACCATTGATCTAAGATATCCCTAATTTAAGTTACTCTCAGTATAAGGAATTATTTACTTATTCGATTAAGTATTCTTTTATTAATCTAAAAGTTATTTCCAATCTTAATTTAATACACATATCTTCCCTCAAAAACAATCAAAAATCTCCAAATGTTTTCTCACTTTCATGTTTACTGTATTTCTTTTATTATTTACAAATACTTTAACTACTAATTGCTTATTTTCTTGTAATTTAGATAGAAAATGAGTTTCTTTAATAAATTAATTATAAATTTATTTAATAATACTGTTAGAATGGAAGAAAATGAGAGATTAGTGGGCAATGACGCAAAAATAAAATTATTATTTAATCTTTTTTATTTATAAAATATAAAAAAATAAATTTAAAAAATTTTTTGTTAATTTTCCTTATTGGGTGATTCTAGAGAAATTTTTAATAAAATAAACATTTTATTTTAGAATTCGATTTTTATTTAAATTAAATTTTTAATAAAATCCCCACCTCTAGACTCAACAATTAAATTATTTCCATTACAATTATTGCTAATAGATCCACCAAGAATATTTTCAATTGAATGATTTAATGGTCTAGTTAATTGTTTTTGCTGTTCTTCTTCCTCATTATTAATCCCTTCTTTAATTAATTTAAAATTAATTGTTGATTCTTTTTTAAATTTATTTTGTAAAATTTGTTTTTGTGTTTTTAAAAGACGATTAATTCTCGGGGTACTTGGCACATTTTTTTGTGAACAAATTCCTCTAGAAAATTAATTATAAAAAATTAATTTTTAAGCAAGTTTACAACCTCTCAACTAAAATTTGTTGGATTTGGAGAGCAGAAATATTCTGATCTATTTTTTCTTTATAAATTGATAAAATATATTGTCGAACAGCTTGGATAGATATTCGTGAACGAGGATTCCCTCCAATCTAAATAATTTAAATAAATTAATTTTTGAAGATTTAATTAATTTTCTATTTAAATAAAAAGGAAAAAATTTAAAAAATTTTTGTTAGTAAATCCAAATAGAACAGCAAGATATTATGTAGAAATTAAAATATTTGAAGAAAAATAGAAAAAACTGATTTTAACTTATGTTTTAAACTCCGATATATGTACATATGTATTTACAGTACAAAAAAGGAAAAATATAAAAATCGAAGTCGAATCGAATACTTCTGATTATGAAATTATTCTATTAAATCTTTAGTACTTTACTAGAAAAAGTTCCTTCACCAAGAAATAATTTCCTTACTCTCGAAATGATGCTAGATCAAAAAATTGATTAAAAATTATCACTTAATGAAAGACATTCCTTCTCCACATATTTGGAAAATAATGAATGTTTTTAATTTTAATCATCAATTAATAAATACCGTTTCAAAACAAATTACCGAATCTCTAATAAAAAATTTTTTAGATAAGCGGCAAAAACTCCCGCCGTGAATTTTCCAAATTTTAAAACATTTCAAGGACTCTTTTAATCTTCAACAACAACTGCTCATTGTCTTTTATATTTCTTAAAACTGTGAAAATTTAAAGGAGAAAAAGAAGGATGGTATTTAATAGTTAGTGTTAGAATGGTGTATTTATTACAAGGAATTATTTTAAAAGGAGGGAAAATGGATTGGCGCGAAGAATTTTTATATTTAAAGGGATTTGGTAATTAAAATAAAGATATTTTTTGGGTTTTTATTAATTTATTTTTAATCTTTTTAAGTACCTGTCCTGGTGAAATTGAGCCTGTTTCATTGAACCTAAATAAAATTAAATAAAATGAAAATGTCGTGTGATGGGGGTTAATCAAGCTTAATTGAAATAAAGTATGCATGATGAAGAGTTTTTGTGAATTGAAAATCCCATTTAGCTGGGAAAATTAATCTCTAACTTACCCTGGATAATTATTGTTTCGACCTCTCGCCGGAGGGGGGTAATTAATCAAAAGGAGTAAATTAATTTAATTAATCACAATAAATTAAGGGCAAAATTGATATTTTGATATATGTAGATTCGTAAAATGTTCCAATAATTAATATTGGCAATGTTTTTTCAGGATTTTTAAAATTAATGAGGAACTTTAGGGGTAGTTATTAAAGGGGGTAATTATTTGTGCATTTACGGTAGTCAAAAATTATTTGTAAAAGGTTTAAAAAAAGTTGAAGATTCTTAATTCAAAATAAATTATTTAGCTTTACCTCATCAAAATTTTAGAAACAGCTCCATGCGAAACTTTCAATTCTCTGCTAATTTTACATGGCCTTAAATTCTTTATTTAAATAGAAATTTTGAAAGACAAACTTTACACCACGCCGTGCCATTTCTACAATTTGGACACGTTTTTCTTGGGGTAATGGCCTTCCATTTATAAAAACTCCACCTAATTGGTTCATTCTACCCTACAAAAATATTTTAGATTTTTTAAAAATAATTAATTAATTTTAAATTAAAGTAAAATTAATTTTAGAAATATTTTCGCATTTTTTAAATACAATTCTTAAAATTAAATTAATTATTTTACCTGCCCTAATAAATTTTCAAATGTAATTCTAGGGCTAGATTGTTGCTGTATTGTACTATCAATATTAAAATTAGTTGATTGTTTTCTTTTTAAAGATGTTTCCGGTATTAGACATTTTGGGGAGGATTTAGTTAATTTTATGTTGGGATTTAGTTTGTTCATTTAATATTTTTAAAAAATTTTCCTCAAAAAGTTTTGATGAAAGGTTTATTTTAAAAAATAGAACATTTAAATAATTATTTTCTAAAATTATTTAATTAAAAAAATAAAAATTGCAGGAATTTATACATAAATAATTAAATATAAATAAAATAACCACCAAACCACCAAAAATACGGCGAACACTTTTGTATATTCACTCCGCCCCCATCTAAATATATTAGTGTACATTTATTTATAATCTTTTAACCAATAAAAGACAAGTAAGTGGCTGTTTGAGGTATAAATTAAAATTTAGAAAAGAAAATAAAAAAAAATAATTTTAATTAAATACTAAAATTAAATTTGTTTTTATTATGATATTTTGGTTATTAAAAATTTCTTTTACCTTTCATTTTAGTTAATTTCATTCATTCTTTGATTTTTTAACTCAAATTTTTCGAGCTTACAATTATACTTTCCAAACTCATTAGAAATCAGAGAAATAAATATTCTCTTGCACTAATCATCGCCATCTGAGCTTTTTTAACTACCCAAAATACTTGTTGGATTAAGTAATTAAATAATTGAATCTTGAATCAAGCTATTTCTTAGTTTTCGTGGTCTTGATTTAAGTTAAAAAAAGGTTTTGGAGTTAAGTCTTTGCATCGTCATTTCTGTTATTGAAATACCTATGCTACTTGTTGTAAATCAAAAAATTCGACAGAGTTCCCGAACTCTTTAAACTAGCGTAATAACCATACTAGTTGATCAATTTTTATGATGCTTGTTAATTTTTGTCTTGATTTATAGAATTATCAATGGGCCCGCGGTACCTTGGTGTGTACCCACAAATTTTTAGTTGATTTTATATATTTTTAAGGAATTTATTTACCAAAAAATAATTTAAAACTATTCCAAAATTATTTATCAAAATTACCATCAAAAAGTAAAAATATATACTAAGTAGGTCGGCAATATTTTAAAAATCCTTTATGTCACTCGGAAGTCGCTATCAAAATGCCCTTTTTTACTTTAAATAATAATTTGGGGAGGAAATAAAAGGAAAAAAGATTTAAATTTGATGAAAATAATACTTAAGCAATTTTGCATTAGGCAATTAATCAATCAAATTTTTTGCCACCTGTAAAAGGTATTTTTTTTGTGTTTCTCCAACCACTTCCGAAAATTCCTCTCCCTCTTCCTCTACATATTTTCATAATTAAATATTTAAGTAAATGTAAAGAAAGGAGAATATTCCTGTACTCTTCTTTTTTATTCACTTAATTTTTAACTTCCGGTAACATACTTATACATATTTTATTCAAAATTCTCAGAGTGTCAGTTTTGGATTAATTTTTTAGTTAAAAAATGGAGGGCAATTTTTAGTTATTTTTTGATTATTAGAACGATTGCTGACGAAATTTAGAGGATTTCACAAATAACATGATAACAATAAAATTAATTTTTATACGTTAAAATGAAAAAAAACTTTTTATTTAAAATTAAAACTCGTTAATTTCTAATTTAGATATTAATTTATATTTTTTAATTAAAATAATTTAAAAAAATATTTTTTGTGTTTGCTTATATTTTGGGCCATATAATAGTTAGAGGGTCCGCCTTTGATTGTTTACATTGTAAGAGAAAGCTAAATAAAAGTAAAAAATAAAATCAATAAAAATAAATATTATTTTTTAAAATTAATTAATTTATTTTAAATCCATAAAAATTTAAAATTTAAATTATGGCAAAAGAGAATGATCCATTTAAATGCTTGCGGTGTGTAAGTATTGCTGTTGGAATTTGGAATATTGCAAGTCTTTGTTTTATTAAGAGTAGCTAATAAACTTTTAGATAAGTTATAGACAGATAGAATTAATTACTTATGTCCAAATTTCGGGGTTTCAAATACTGGGAATTTTAGAATAAAGAATTTAATAGGCGGGGTTTTAAGAAACACCTTAGTATTGTTATGATTTCAATTAACTTTTTTTATATGCTGAATAAATTACTTTAAACCAAAAAAAGTAACAATAAGTAATCCAGATCTATGATTCCATTAATGTTGCAAGATTGTAACAGATAAAGGATTAAGAAGATAAACTATAGTAAAACCGACAAAAATTTTTATTTAACAGAATTAATAACTAATTAACTTATTTTATTAAATAAAGTTTTCAGGTTTATTGTTTTATTCAATTTGGATTACTTGGTTGGCAAGTACAAGTAGTAAAAGAATGGCAATGGCATTGGGAAAATCGAGAATTACCTGCTACTGGCGCGTAAGCTAAAAAGAATTCCTAAAAAATTTTTAATTAAATTTTAAAGAATTGATCAATACCAGGCAAGATTTCCAGGTCTTTATGCGAGGTATACAGAAACACCCGAAAGTAGAAAAATTAATGGTAAATTAGCAGCCAATTAAAATATACTTAAAAATAATTAGAGTCAAAAATTGTTCTTTAATTAATTCTTTATTCAGCATTATATGCTATAGTGCTTATTTGTGTTGGATTAACTATTATCCATTTACCCAATTCAGTAGCAATGCTTTATGGCTGTAATAAAGTAAAAAGAATAATTTTTAAATTATTTTTCAAAAATTATTTTCAAGTCATTTCCAAATTGGATATTTCCTTGGTTTTTTACTTCAATTCCTTTAATTATTTTATGTACCGTTTATTCAGTTCTTTGGTGGAGTGGAGATATATTTGCTGAACAATTAACTTTTTCTGTTTTTGAATTTATCATTTCTCTTGCTGCAAATGTTTTTATTTAAATTTAAATTTTCAAAAAAAAAATTTTTTTTTAATTTTTAGGGAATTGGAGTTGTTTTAGTATTTCTTTACTATCAAAGACTTCGTGGTAAACTTCTCTCAGAAAGGGCAGGCAATGGATATAAATTACCTTCAATTAATGAAAATAATATTTCTTCTATTAGACAATTAAGAATTAAAAGAAAATTGAAAAATAATTTAAATTTTGAAGAAAAACAATTACCTCCATGGATTAAATCTTTGCCTGATAAACCACCAAAAGCTATAGAAAGAAAATTAAGGAGAAAAGAGAGAAAAGAATTGGAACTTGGAAGACGATATGAAATGAAAAGAAGAAAAAATAACTTAAATTAGCAAATAAAATGTTTAAATTCAATTGAATCTAATTATAATATATCCCTAATAATGTATATGACTAAGTTTGGTACTCTTAGATTTTGTCAGGCACTAGCTAGGGAAAGATGCCTAAGCATGGGTACTCTCAAGACCGATAATTTTCCAAGACTCAGGACCAAAAAAATGAGAGAAGTCCATGTTTGTGACAAAATTTATGTATAATATTAAGCGATAAAGTAGATTTGGGTGATTCGCTTCTTACAACCACTGGCACAATAGTTGCAATTGTCTTCTCTCACATCCTCTTATGATTAAATAGTATGAATTACTGAGGATTCATGCTTTTTCG